GTTTTATTTTCGGTTTAGATACAACTAAACCGTTTCTTATGACTATGGCCAAAAATGTTTGAAGATGTTTAAAATGTTGATCGATGCTTTGAGAGAAAATCAGAACATTGTCAATATAGACAATTGAAAAATCTTGAAAAGGATTGAAGATATCATTCATAATTTTTTGAAATTCGGATGGAGCGTTTTTTTATCCCAAATGGCATAACGTTCCACTCGTATTGTCCGAAAGGGACGTTGAAGGTCGTTTTATACTTGTCTTTTTCTGAAATCTGGATTTGCCAATACCCCGATTTCATATCAAATTTTGAAAATACTTTCGCATTTGAAATTCTTTACATTAAATCTGATTTATTTGGAATTGGATATCTAATCCATTCCAAAACCTTATTTAAAGGTTTGTAGTTTATTACCTGTAGTAGAACTCCACGCTCCTTCTCTGCCTGGTTGTTGACGTAAGAAGCTGCACATGACTAGGGGATCTTTGATGGCCTAATAAGATCTTTCTGCAGAAGATCATTAATTTTTTCTTTGCAGAATGTTAGTAATTCTTTATTCATTTGAATAGGTCGGGCCTTCATAGGAGTATTTTTCTCCTCGAAAGTTTTGATATAAGGAAGATTAACTATGTGTTGCTTCCTATTCCAAAAGGCATTAGGGACAGTTGTTTCCCTTTCTATTTGAGCTTGTAATGTTTTGATTTTAGAATGGGCGATCTTGCTTTGAAACTGTTCTTCTATTCTCTTGAATGAAATTTCTTCCTTCAGAAAAGACATTTGTTTTTCTTTATAATTCAATACATTTATTGATTGAATAATTGTATTGTTTTGAAGGTTATTTATTTAATTAATCCTTGTAGGGGAAAGGAAATTAAATTTTATCTTCTTTACTAAGGCTTTTGACTCTAACCCTTTTTCAGTTATTTTAAAAGGGTATAATTGAGTAATGAAAGAAGTACCTAGGATTAGTTCATGTCCTAAGTCCTTTACTAAGAGGAAGGAATTTACGAAGCAAATTCCGTCATACAAACATGGACTTTTGATAGTTTGTAATTGATTTTGAGTTTGTTGTTGTTTGCACCTCTAAGGCCTTCGGTAGTTTTTTCAAAATACTTAGTAGGTATTAGGCCTTCTTGAATACAATTTTGATCGGCTCTAGTATCTATGAGAGCCTTTAGTGTAATTTTGAAATCATAAATTTTTAAGGTAACAAGAGCGTACCATTTTTTATATTGAGAAGTGGTAATGGCTCCAACGAAGGAACTTTGAAAATCATCTTCGTCCAGGTTTGGTTGCGTCATTTTCTTTTGTTCGGGCAGCCTTCCCTGAAGGTTGAGAATTTCTTGGCGAAGCATATAGGATTCTGACCTGGTTTCACATCTTAATACCTGTACTTCTTGTTTGAGATTATTAATCTCTCTTTGTAGGTCTTGAGTAGTGAGTTCTCTCGGTTTTTCAAACCTTTGGAGAACTGATTGAAGTCTGTAGGGATTTCTTGCTTCTTTTTTAGGTGGTTTAGAGATTGTCATAGCATCTCTAAGTCGTTGAGCAATTTTATGTTGAATTTCTGGATCTTGAATTTTTTCTACCACCTCAAGTAGAATTTCTTGATCCTTTGTAAGGACGTTTATGCATCCTTCGCACGTTCTTCTTCCTTCTTGTTCTGATTCGTATTCTATGCTAGAATATGAATCGGATTCTTCTTGGAGTTCGAGGATTTCTCCCTCGCTTGATTGTTCTGAGTCGGTTAGAGTTAGTCGTAGTAGCTGATTTTTCAGCTCTTGATCCATAACCAACTCGTTGATCTTTCCTCTGATTGGACACTTGTTAGCATAATGTCCTTCTTCTCGACATTTGAAGCAAGTTTGCTTTTTCTTTCCTTTATGAGTTTTTGTGGGAGCGTACCTTTTCTTAGAATACGTTGGCTTTTGAGGTTGTACAGGCTTAATTCGATACTTTTCTCTAGGCCTGTACACATTATAAGGCTTTGGATGCGTCCTAACCTTTTTCCTTCTGCAGGTTGAGGGGGCTTCTATTCCCTTGATCGCAAAATCTTCCAAGCTCTTTTCTTTTTGATATCGAAGAATTGAGCCTATTTTAGATCTTTGACTCATTACAAAGTCTGAGTCCTTCTATGATGAAGGATGCTATTGATCCGTATGACAAAGTTTGCCATGGAATTGTTCCATTATACTTTGTCTTCAGACCGTCTTTGATCCTTCTTGAGAAGTGTTTTGGTAGTCCATTGACAAAATTCTCTTTCCAGAATTCCAATGAACTATCTGTTCTAATAAGAACTTTGTTGAAATACATGTCTTTGTACCACCTGAAATCTCCTAAGGTAGGGCATTTCAGGTTCATGAGTATTTCGGTGGATCTCTCCTAGTATTTCAGGGGGTCGCCAATGAAAAATTCTATGAGGGTATAGATTAGAGTATTGACAGCATCTTCTACCCTTTCATGTTGTACTTCGGTCCTAGTTGATAGACCTTCTTCTTTGATGATTTGAGTTGTTGGCCTGATGACATAGTGGTTTAATATCTGTTGACGGGTTGATTCGTCAAGATATTTGTCCCACCCGTCTTTGAGTTGCCCAGTAAATTTGGTCACTAAGACTTGAGCTATTTGATGGTCGGATTTATGGCCCTGTAATTTATACGCGCCTGCGGCCATCATCATTTCATTGATAACGTTCATCACAAGATAGTCGGACAATCCATCGATGTTCCATTCATAGATTGCCAGGCCATCATAGTGGGCTTGAGTTTGTAGCGTCTTTTCTTGGAATTGAATATCCGGAAAAGACGGTTGAGGATACCATTTTTTCTGATTGCTGGTATTATTTTGACTTCTTCTTGAGATCCTTTCGATCCGATTGTAGAGAGGTTCTTCTGCCTCATTTACGATCTCATCTTCGAAGTCCTGGATCTCGCGTCATTGTTAACGACATTGACAGATGAATCCTGATGTATTATTCCAGGATTTAGAATTCTATCCAACTTTTCTTCTATTTTGGCTATTGCAGCTTCTTCTTTTGAGACCCTGTTTGTGAATACGTCGAGGTTTGCCGGTCTGAGTATTGGGATTGACTCATCGACCTTTGGTACAGAGCTGCCTGCTTGTTCTTGCAGAGTACTCGAATTCTTCGAGATTTTTCCCTCGATACTCTCAAGCTGGGTGGAGATTGTGTATAAAATCTTGTTTGAATAATTATTCTAGTGCTGGATATTCTTGATATCCTTTAGGGTCGGATTACCCTTTTTTAGTCCTTCTGGGATAGTTTTAAAAGGACTAGCTTTGACTTTTTCTCCATAGTAATTGTCAAATTCGACTTCTTCCAACGAAGGATGTTTTGAATATACCTCACCTCTTCTGGTAGTCTTCCAGCCTCTTTGAGTCAAGGTGCATATTTGCAAAATATTTTCTTCAAACCATTCGAAGAACGGTATGTTTTCCTCTACTGTTTCCATATGAGAATACCACTGAGCTCTTAATTCACTTTGCTCAGCTTCTTTGTAAGTTTGGAAGAAAGCTTTTCTCTTTGAAGAGTTGACAACTACATAAAATCTGTCTTCATTAGCTGTAATAACATTTAGCTGACTTTCGTAGACGGATTGAGTATCCATATCTGTATGGGTTGGAGATCTTGAGCCATCTTCATAGTGAATTGATGCCCTTTTTTGATCATAACTGGCCTCTTTTACCTTTAAGGGGTCATACATTGATCTTGAAACTCCTGACGTACTTGGTCTAGAACTCAAGAATTCTCTTACTTTTGATTCAGACGAAGGCTCTTCACTGAATTTTATTTCAACGCTTCCATCGTCATGTTCGATGATTTGTACCGGGTTTTGAGATTCCTTTCTCTTTGGAAGATTAGCATCTTCTATTTTTCAGAGAGTATTTCTGGTTATTTGATCCCAAGAAAGTTTTTGGAACAGTCACAAAATACTTTCCAATATTTGCCTCTATATGAGCATGGTTGATCCTTTTGGAGAGGATCTTAATGCTCTTGGTGAAATATTTATATTCACGAGTTTATAATAAACTCTGAATATGACGACTCAAGAATGAGTTTCAGCCTTGATGTTCAAGTTTTTTGATTGTAAGTCCAACATAAGAGCTGATAATATGTGCTGGTCGTGGAGCGACAAAGTAAAATTTTGATAACAATTGAAATAGACTGGTCCAATCTCCAGATTGGATTGAACCATTCCCAATAAAGAATTTGAGAAATTTTCATGTCTCTTATCTCGTAAGGAGATAAGAACTGGGATATCTAGTCTAACTCTGAACAATGGTTTTACAGCGACTTGAACAAGACCGACGTGAAGATAGTTAAATTCTTCACGATGTTGGAGTATAAGGGATTTTGAAAAAAGATTCAGAAATTCCCTATTACTATGAATTGTGATGTTTTTCTCTGAGAATTTCAGGCATGATCTTTGAGTAAGATTGAAGGTTGAGATTTGGTAGATAGTTTTCGGATCTACCTTTGGAATAGTCCAATTTTGGAGCTGATCTTCGATCCTGGCAATTTGATATTCTTGATTGACAGTATTTGAGATTGTGAGATTTTCTCCACTTCTATGTTCATTTGAGCTTTCTTCTTCGTCGGTAGAACATTTGAAATGGTTTGATTTTCTGAGCTTTTTCAGAAATTCGTTCATAGGAAGAAGATAGGTAAGAGATAGAGTAGAATATTTTTCTCTGAATTTTTTCAATTGATATTCAAGAGAGAGCTATCGGCGGATCGATGCCCTCTTTACAATGAAGAAGTCCTTTTATAGACTTCAGATTTGAATGCAGATTTGAAAATCGTGAACTGGGAGAAAAGATCGAATCTTAGCAGGACAGGACCCCTGCAAGATTCGTATTTTTAAAAGTAGGAAAAGACCTAAAGCAAACTAATAATTTACAAGGACGGACACAGATAATTCACATGTGAGCCCTCTCTTCGTGGCTGACAAGTTGTCAATCTTTGTTTTGTCTCTAATAAAGGTGTTAGGTTGTAGATAAGATTTTCTTCAGAATTTTTCATATGACGGAGCACCCGAGCTTGCCAACGGACTTACTGTGCCTCCCGCGTCTTACCTCCTGGAACACAAGGGCTATTCGCTTAGCTATCTCATACTCCAAATTCATCTGCTATTTCCTTATCCTCCTCTTGTTGTCGGCATTTTTGTAGCTTAGATTGAGTAACTCCTCTTCCCTCACAAAAATTGAGAGGCTCTGATATCATACTTACGCTTAATGACTTTAGCCCTTACAATTTACATGAGCTCTGTCATCCTCCTTGTTTTATTCAACCCGACAACCCGGACCAACCCAACTTGAACTATAAGGATTGGGTTTGGTTGTATTAGCATTTCGGGTAGGGATGAACCCAACTGAATCGGTTTGGTATCAGGTTCACCCGACAATCCAAACCAACCTAACCCAACTTGGACCAATCCAACCCGAACTATAAGGGTTGAGTTTGGTTGGATTAGCCTTTCGGATAGGGTTGGGTTCATTTTTCTTTATGCAGTCATGTTGTTTTGTGCAAGAACTACGGATGTATTATAAAATACTTCGATACAATAAATAAAACAGTAGGTGAGTGGTGTGTTTCTTTACCAGAAATACTCATAACTCAAGTGTTGAATCGAGATGACAACCTTAGATGGGTGAATAGGATTTTAACGATAAAAGTATTTAAGCGTGAGTAATTTTTCTAATTATGAAACTTTTTACAAATGAGTAGAAGATTGATAATTAATATAACAAAAAAAAAGTTCAAGTCAAACCAATAATCAACTACAAGAAACGTTGAACATGCAATAAGTCACAATAATAATTTTGAAATTAATAAGAAAGAGTTAGAAAATATGACACCGTAGATTTATAGTGGTTCGGTCAAACTCGACCTACTCTAGTCCCTAAGCACCTCTTGGGAATTTGAATAATGAACTTTCTCGACTCTTTCTACGGATATGAGCCGAACCGCTACATCACTCTTTTTATGAGTTCAAGAGCAAACTCAATCCTTTCCACGATGCAGGATCAAACCGATACAAATATTTTAATTCGGTATGAACACACGAGAACTCTCTAAAATAGTATATTTATAATTTGGAGCACTCACAACTATTCCTCGCAATACAATAAAAAAATCTCTCTCAAGAATAACATAAATAAAAATAAAATTGGAAGCGTGTAGAGAGCCACCATGGAGGCTTTAGAAAATTGAAGATGAAGAATTATGGAATGTATGTTATAAAAGATGGAGGAGTAGATGGGTTTAAATAGACATGTAAAGTGGAGATTAAAAGTAAATAATCCTAAAATTTTTCAAATTTATTTTTATTATTATTTTTGAATGTAATAAAATAATATAAAAATAATAAAAATCCATGTGAGGCGCGATCAAAAATTTATTATAAATATAATAATATAATAATAATAAAAAGGAATGTGAGTAAGATTAAATTCAAATTTTAAAATTTATTATAATGGTAATAATATAATAATAATAAAAAGTAATGTGAGTAAGATTAAATTCAAATTTTAAAATTTATTATAATTGTAATAATAATATAATAATAAAAATGATGTGAGTAACCACCAAAAATTTTAAAATATAATAATATAATAATATAATCATATGATATAGTATTAATAAAAATTGATAAGAGTAATGGTTAAATTCAAATTTAATAATAATATAATAATAAAAAATAATGTGAGTAGTAGTTAAATTCAAAATTTAAAATTAATTATAATTATAATAATATAATAATAATAAAAATGATGTGAGTAACAAAAATTTCAAAATATAATAATATAGTATTAATAAAAATTGATAAGAGTAGTGGTTAAATTCAAATTTAATGATATAATAATAATAAAAAATAATGTGATTAGCAGTTAAATTCCAAATTTAAAATTAATTATAATTATAATAATATAATAATAATAAAAATGATGTGAGTAACCACCAAAATTTCAAAATATAATAATATTATAATATAATATAGTAATAATAAAAATCGATAAGAGTAATGGTTATATTCAAATTTATATTATGTATATAATTTTATTAATAATTTTATTTAAAAAATATAATAATAAGAAAAACTTCCTCATTTGTTACTCTTCTCTTGATGAGTGTCCATCATTTTGATTTAACTAACACACATGATGTCCGTATGTTGTCTCGATTGTAATTTCTTCGCTTTCACTCTGATTTGAGTGATTGAAATGTCGTTGAAATCGTTATTCTCAACCTTATACGGTGGACAGTTCAAAATACTGAAAATGGTTAATAATTAAATGTAGGTTTGTTATCATCAAAACATCAATTAATTAATATGAGATTAATGGCCAAAAAGCAACACGTAGGAGGTACTAAGATGTACCAATATCAAAAACAACACTTCTATCTAGTGGTGAAGTATGAAGAAAGATGTGATAGAGTTTATTTGCAAGTGCTTAGTATGTCAATAAGTAAAAGCTCCCAGACAAAAGACAATAGGGATGTGACAACCCCTAAGTATACCAGAAAGTAGGTGGAAAAATATAGCTATGGACTTATGGTAGAACCTACCTACAATGCTCAAGGGCTACACTGTGATCTGGGTAATTGTTGACAGGTTGACCAAGTCGGCGCACTTCCTACAAGAAAAAGCAATATATATAGTTGACAACTAGGTGCAATTGTATGTGAAGGAGATAATAAGGTTGCATGGAGTCCTAGTATCGATAGTATCGGATCGGGACCCACGCTTTACGTCGGTATTTTGGCACAAACTCGAAAAAGCGTTAGGCACTCGCCTCGACTTCAGTACTACCTTCCACCCTCAAACAGATGGTCAAACAGAACGCCTAAATTAAATTTTAGATGACATGTTACGTGCTTGCGTGTTAGATTTTAAGGGAAGTTGGGATTCCAAGTTTCACTTGATGGGATTCTCATACAATAATAGCTTTCAAGCCACTATCGGGATGACACCGTTTAAGGCCTTATTTGGAAAATGGTGCAGCACTATGCTAGGACGAAGTAGGTGATAAAGAGTTAGGAGGACCCAAACTAATTCGAGCCACCAATGAGGCCGTCTAGAAAATTCGAGTGAGGATGCATACTGCTCAAAGTAGACAGAAAAGATACGTTGACATAAGACGTAGGAACTTAGAGTTCAAAATGGGAACCCAACATTCTCGAAGGTGGCACCCATGAAAGGTGTCTTGAGGTTCGGACGTAAGGGAAAATTAAGTCCTAAATCAATAAGATCTTTCGAGATTCTCGAGCGAATTGGTCGCGTGGCGTATAAGTTAGCCCTACCACCTTTCCTCTCAAGAGTACACAATGTATTTCACTTGTTAATGCTGAGAAATTACATGACGGATCCTATCCACGTAATAGATTACGAGCCTTTTTCAGCTTAACGAAGATTTAAATTATGAAGAAAAGCCCATAAGAATCCTAGCTCGCGAAGTGAAAGCCTTATGCAACAGAGACATTGCATTTGTTAAGATGTTGTGGTGAAACCACCACACTAAGGAAGCCACGTAGGAGCGTGAAGACGAAATAAGAGGAAAATACCCCGAATTAGTACAGGAGTTCGAGACTTTTGGGGATGAAAGTTCTTTTTAGGGGTATATAATGTAACATTCTTTAATTTAAAAAGAAATTTGCGAAGTCGCCAGAAATTTCGTGAAAATTCTTGCGAGGCGCCGAAGTTTTTGTGGTCGATGCTAAAACATGATGACCCTGCGAATTCCTCAGATTACCATACAATCCCACGAACTTCAGCCAACCTTCCCAGGCTCTCGAGTACATGCAACAAATAACAAAGAGGAAAATCATAAAGAAAGAGAGAGAGAGAAATAAGAACAGAGAGGAAAACCATAGAGAGCTTAAACCCACGAACACGTAACCTAAAACGACCATACACAACGTCGAGACATTTGATTATCGCCATAAAAAGAATCTTCGATGGCAGTACATCAATCTAAGGTATGTCTCATGTCCCTTTTGGGCGTTTCCAATTGAGATATGTTGAAAGAAGTAAAAGAGACAAAAGAAAAACTTGGGGGGCCTTTGGCTTTTCAATTCTCTTTTGTTGTTGTGTTGTTATTAAAAAAGCATACTCCTCATGAGTATTTATAGTAGAAAAAGTGCTAACATGGTATCAGAACCATGCCTTTAACTTAGTCATATCAATAGAATCCTCAAATGTGAACAAAAAAGTTGTGAGCCTTGAAGGTATAGTCAAAAGTGATTCAAATGTTGAATAAATGATGTACTTTGTTCAAGGGCTTCAGTGAAAAGAGTCGAGCCTCAATTAAGGGGATGTTGTTTGAGGGCTCCATAGGTCTTAGGGAGGCTCTATGGTATACTTTGTTCGAGGGGAGAATTGTTGGGAGGGTGTCCCATATTGACTAATTAAGGGGATAATCATGAGTTTATTAAGTCAATACATCTACATTGGTATGAGACATTCTAGGGAAACCAAAAACAACACCATAAAAGTTTATGCTAAAAGTGGACAATATTATACCATTATGGTTCCTAACATTCAGTCCATAGCCCTCCTCCAACCCCTCCTAGGCGGTTGCACCTGTGGCATAACTCTATCAATGTCAAGAGATAACTCTGAAGCCTCACCCTAATATGGGTACTGCTCTTGTAAGGATCGGACTGACTCGATGACTCCAAAAAGATGGATAAGTTTTTCGCGAAATAAAACAAACGGTATTTAAAATATAACATTCATTATAGCAAAATAGTGTTCTTACATAAGTAATTAAAACACAACACCATAGTTAAAACACAAAATAAGAAACCAACACAAAATATTTTAAAATAAAATAGTTGAGGACGATAGGTGAGGCTTGTCTATGGCACTTGCTCCAGAGCCTGATCCCCACCTCGACTAACTCTTTGTTTACCTGAAAAACATGGAAAATAAGGAATGAGTACAAAGACTCAATAAGTAGCATACTTATAGGCTCTTAATCGTGTCC